CACGGAAATGACAGATAGTGACATGGGAATGACAATAGTGAATTCCTAGTGTGATATAAAATATATAAATACTTCAACACAAATCGCACAAACTAAAGGCATTCTGAAAGATAACATTTTGTATTGGAGAATTAATTAACCTTGGCATTCTCAGTTAATTTAGGTCATTAGATTTTCTCAGTTGCTAAGATTCAACCATGTTAGAATGATATTATGTTGGCCAAATTGAAAAATCTAAAAACCTTTGTTTCCTCGAGAAACGATAATAAGGTAGTATTAGCAAAATTTATGATTCATTAATATAACATATATGCTCTTTTTTTCTTTTTCCATCATCTTCACCATATGACACACTGAGATATTCTTGTATTCAGATTTGGCTGCAGTCTTCTTGGGACATGAAATGAAACTTCAGAGTACAAGGGCCAGTTTAATCAACCTTCGGTTAATATTCTAGACCATGAATATTCTTCCATTAGAATTATTATTGTTTCTGTCTCCTATTACGTGGCTTCTTGGCAAGCCACAGAAGAGTTCTCTTCAGATACTCTCGAACGCAGATGCCTATAGCTAATTTTGGTTTGGCGATGAACAGGGTAGTTTCAAGAGCCTGGGAGTACTGAAAACTCTCAGTTCAGCTATTCTAAGTCGAAGGGAATGTTTCATTAAGTGGTCGTAGGTTGTAGAAGGTTTCCATAGCGAGAATGGCGATAGGCGTGTAAGTTATAAGAATGACAAAATATGTTTCGTTGAATTGCTAGATAAAAGCTCCAAGAATCAATGGAATTTTGGATAAATCACAATGAATATGAGTTTATGAGAGGGATCGAATGGATATTATTATCTTGCTGATCCGTCAATATGTTGATGCCTGATTTTGCAGAAAAGACATGTGGGTGACGACAAAAAAACTGTTATATCTCTTTTCTCAGTGTGTCAGTATCATATCCACAATAGTTTTCTTTATGCCTGTTTTCTTCTTGTCTCCGAAATAATCGCCTTTTCCTTAGCCTCTTGACAGGATCATCTCGTATCTTCCTTCTCATCTCATTTCCTAATTTCCTTTGTTTTTTGTCGTTTGTCTTCTTAACTTTGTTTCTAGGAAACATCAGAATTTTCTGCTATGGAAATATTCATTATGAAACCGTATAAAACTGATTGGTCAGTGAAAAATCATTCCTGTGAATACCGAAACATTTCCGTGACACTAAAAAACATGGGAAATACGACCACGGCAATGGTATTTTGTCTGTTAAATTGGAATTCAAATTTTCATTCAAATGAATTCAGATGTAATTCTTTCAACAATTGATTAATGGGTCTTGCAGGCATGATTGGCTAATATATTGCATATGAATTAAAAAAGTAAATGTATTATTTACTCTGTCTGTCAGGATACAGACCTTACTCAGTCCACAAAGCCACGAAGTACTTCGAAAATATACGATTATATGCGAAGGCCTGGAAGGGACACATAAAATAAAAAAAAAATACTCTTCAAAATTCTGAGTTTCAGCTCGGAATTTTTGAATTCCGACTTATATCTCGGAATTTTACATCCAAAATTCCGAATTATAACTCAGAATTTTAAAATTCCGTGTTATAACTCGGAATTTTACATCAAACTTCCGAATTATATAATTCCGAATTTCAAAATTCTGACTTATAACTCGGGATTTTGAATATGAAATTCCGAGATATAAGTCGGAATTTTAAAATTCCGAGTTATAACTCAGAATGTAAGAGAGTTTATTTTTTTTTTATTTTTTGTGTCCCTTCCAGGGCTTCGTAATTATACCCCTAACTCCATGATTGTAACTGACATGATTAAACCTGTTTTTTACACCTCATTAAATTTGTTCAACATTAATCGCCTCTCTTAAATTCGATATTCTGGTGGTACACGGTAATGACTGTATTAACTGAGAGACATACTTTAATACTGGAAAATAAATAACAGTTTTTTTTTCATAACCTTTCAATTGGTTTCAACTATTATATTGACTTATTATCATCCATCAAATAAGATGGTTCAAGATATTTTTTTCACAATGAATTAGTTGATATTCAGTCTTCTTCAATGAACTTCATGGCAAAGACATGATATGGGAATGACTATTGAGACTTTCTTCGTCAAATAAAAAAATATATTTTGACAAAAACTCAACAATATTAGATATTCAACACATAGCCGTGAATCCAATTTGGTACTCTACCTATTTTCTCGATGCTTGAAGAATTATTATATTCTTTTTCCTCACGATACAACAAATTACTCAATTTTGGGGCGATCACCCACGCACGATGTTTTCGAGCATAAAAGGGAGTCCCTTTCGTGGAATCCAAGATATGAAAAATTAATTATGAATTTGATATTATTTTCTGGGTCAATACCAAAATTGGCTATGCTACGCAGTATTCATCTAGGTATTTCTAACCGGAGCTGTGTGAAATTTCAACTAATTATTGTGTCGAATGCAAATTTAAACCATCAAAACTCTAATTCAACTCACGAAATCACTTTGAATATGTGTAAAACGAGTTCCGTCGCGAGAAATAAAAAATCTCAACGCGTATTTGGAGACAATGTATCGGTGTCCGATACATATTTTATAAGCCTTATTGCCACATCTGGACTCTCTCCTCCCAATGACAACCACTTTTATCGCGATTTTCAGCAGGAAGGAATTATTTGTTTTATTTCGTTTTATGTAATCTCGCATTTGTTTTGACATGGGGAAGGGAGGGGTCGCCAGGCCAACTTTATACTATATAAACTAAGCCATACGCAATGAAAGTATATCACTTTATCGATCGGTGTTTTGTGACTTATCCTTGTGGATTACCACTACCAAATTAAGAAAAAATGGCCTCCATGAAAATGATTGTGAGTATTTTATAACATAGAAAATTCGTATTTTCGCTTATAATCTCCCTAGCAGCAGAATTATCACCGATATTTTTATCAAGGTCACGAACATGATGATTTTCTATCAATAAAAACATGAGTGAAACCGAGAAGAAAATTATCGGGTTTTGATTCTGCTGCGTGGAAGATTCAGTAAGAATATTCAATAAATTGGAATTGCTTTGATGAACCTTACGACCTACTCTGCGTAGACGCCTAATGAAATTTGAGAAACATAAAGAAATAACAATTCATTATTCCAGATTCTTTGAGATTTTCTCTCCTCGTTTCTTTTATTTTTTTATTTATTCATTTATTCAGCAAAAGCTAAGTCAATGTAATATAAAAAAAAGTTATAAGATCTAAACGAACAAGGAGCATCTAGACACTTAATTTGCAAACTCCAGATCAACACAGTAAGTACAATAAAAATACAGGACATAAAATAAACTATTCAAATTCTTCAAAAGTTTGAGTTGTTTCGTTTTAATGAATGCATTTTTAACTTAGTCTTGAATATATTGATGGAAAATGCATTTTTCACGTCAGATGGCAAGTCATTATATTGTTTCAAGCCTTTAAAAAAACGGAATTTTTTGCCAATATTTTACTCCTCGGTGAAATAAAAAAGTTTTTTTTCTGTCTGGTGTTATGATGATGCATTTCTTTATTATTAGTCAGCTCATTCACCAAATAATTTGGTGCTTCACATCTTTGTATTTTAAAAACAAATGCCAATACCAAAAATTCAAAATAATCCTCAATAGGCATCCAATTCAAACTTTTTAACTTTGAAAGAATAGTACATTATACACCTAGGGAATGAAGTGGTATTTCAAATCCCTAGACAAAAAGTTTATAATTATATATAATTTGTCGAGGGATTTGAAAACACTTTTGGCCTGGGGTGAATATACTTTTCATGCTATAAGGATAGGTAAAACGTTAAAAATAACGAAATACAATTCGAAGCCACTAAACGGTAGGTAGTCTATTTCTAAAACGTTATCGAAGGGGATGATTGTTACCATATCAACTACCTCTGCAACTATGGTGATCCAGATTTCAGGAAAAAACTAGTACTCCAAATCCCTAGGGATAGGAAGTACCACTTTTTTCACCGAAAATAGGGAATAAAGGTGCCCTTTGAATCCCTGAAGTGCATAAAAATATGAGTAATATTTCGATATACGTGTAGTGAGGACTAATCAGAGTATATGTCCAAAAAATATCATTGATTCGTTTAAAGACTTTTTCTAACTGCTAATGAATTTTTGTTTTATTGGCTTTTTGATGAAAAAATCTTTTAAACAATAATTCGTACTCAAGTTGAATTTTTTGTTATATCTATTTTTATATCGAAGACTGAAACCTTTCTATATCCGCGCACTGGCCCGTTTATACCGTGTCTTGGTAGGCTGACTAATGACTATATTTTGACTAAATACTCTTGGTCAGTGTGGTAAAACCTGTATACTTGGTAAAGTTACCAGCTTGGTTTGGTCACCGAACATAAACAGAGACGTTTACGTTCGGTTTTTTGGTACCGAAATTTGTTGCGCACCATACTAAAGTATGATGGCCACGACAGTTTAAACATGTTGGTCTACTTTTGTATAACTTTGATTTGACTGCAAGTGGCAGTTATTTCATGAGTTGTCATAACAATATTTCATTCAATTCCAGCTACTTTCGTATCCTACTTGAAAATCTGTATAAGTTTGAATCCCCTCAAAATAATTAAATAATGAAGAACATGATCGACGCATTTCTTATTTTAACACTACTGAAAGGTTTCATTCTTAATTCACGAATTCAAGAGGAGTTCCCCTAACCTCAAAAACATATTCAAATCAAATGGAAGTTGATAACGTTAGTCAACTGAAGATACATAGTGTAAACGTGCGTTAACTAAGACATTTGGTCTGAATTAAGTTACATCACCTTGGTAAGCATCCCAAATATCCATATACGGTATAAACGTGGTCATTGTTTTACCACTAACCAAACCGATCTTTGAAGCAGTTATGAACTTGTTAGTTTGAAACGTTTCGTTGATTTCATGTTTTTGTATGATTTGTATTTTTTATAGGTTGTTGTTCTTGCATTAGTACTGGCTCTGGCTTCTGCTGCTCCTGGGTGGGGTCATAGCAAACAGTGAGTACTAAATTCAAATTGTAAACAGTTGGTGAGTTTCCCAATTTGTGAGCGAAAGAAAATAGTAGCTGCCAACAGTGGGGTTATTATTTCAAGTTACGAAGTGGAAAAAGAAATTTCTGTTTGTTCTGTGAGAGTTGCGTGTACATAAATATATCGATGAATTAAGTATGGAGTAATAATTTGATAATTATGGTGAAATATAGGTTGCGTTTTCTGTACTGGTTCTTTTGGATAGTCAAGTGAAATTGTGACTTGATTCTACAGTAAAATATTTGTCCGACTTTCAACAATTCTGATAGTTTCACAAACGATATAATTTCCACCAAATTATTATAATAATGCGGTAGTCAAAAGTTTTACCTGTCTGACCAATATATACCTTAGAACAAAATCTACAGTTAATTTTTGATACCCCTGATTTTTCTCATCCATGAAATTCCTCCTCAACGTGTTATTTTTTTGTTCTGAAAGCAATTTTTGAAAAGGCTAATTTTCCTATGGGAAATGTTCCTCAGAAATCTCTGCTATCATATCATTCCGTCACTTGCAATACCAGTCAGACGAACTCGACAAGCCCAGTCAGCACATCCATTTTTTGTCAACCTTGAGATATGTCGAGCAACACTTCACCAACACTCGCTCGTCTGTAGAACGGCAATACTGCCAATGTCAATGGTTTATTCATATACGTATTAATAAACAATACGGATCATAACGGGTGCCAGGATGAAGCCAAAAATATGAAACAAATGAATATCCATAAGGATTTGGTGGCATGATACGCATGCGTCATGCGCTATTATAGTAGTCATCAAAGACATGCGTTTCGGTGGACAATGACGTTTACTAGCCTTTCAATCAAAGCAGTATGTGTCTGATCGTTTCAAAACTTTTCCTTATGGATAGTCATTTGTCTTCAAAAATCGGCTTCATGTTTCGCTATGGAAACAGATAGAGATTATCCGTATTGATTATTAATACTGTCACAATTAAATAGTTGGAGGCTAGAGGTAATGAATTAATATATTTCACTTAGTTTTTGTATGGGTACAGATGGTTTTAGCATGCCTATCTGTGTGCACTACCAGGAACGCCCCATTTGAAGATCAAACCGAGGCAGTCCAGTTTTAGCATGCTGGACCGTTCGCAAATCCTGGCCAGATGCCCCATATAAAAACACATTTTTATATTCAATACTTAAAATAATGAAAACTGTCTCACACTATATAAATAGATGGTTAGTCTATTCTTATCGATTTATAAGGGGTAATGCTTGGCTTAATATTTTGCGAGAGGTAATATTCGAATAGGCACTAATGTTTAGGGGTAACTGAAAGTACGAGACTATATTCAAAGATAACAATATGTATTGAAGCATGAAACATTATGGGTAGCGATAACAATTATGAATGAACAACAATGAATATAAAGACCTAATAACAACTTACATTATAGAGACCATAACGACGAGCTCTTGTCAAGTCAAGAGTAGCCCCAGACCAGACTAACTTCGGAACCCTCATATCCAATATTTATATACATCATTTTATTAGATTTGCACGTTTCTCATGAGAGTTCCTTGGTCAGTTTTCATAGTTCAATGTCAATTGATGATTTGAATAATTTTATGTTTATAAAACCCTCATGGTTACAAATTACTAATATACTGTATGTTCTACTCGTGACATGACCCCTCTCTCCGAGAAAACTGGACCCCAGTTTTGAAATTACTACCTAACTTAAATATATCGAGGAGAACATTTAAAATTCATTTACATAATATACAAACAATTTCAGAAAAAAATATCCACAAACATCAAAATTTAGTGTCTACAATGCACACTCACACCTTTACTTAGTCCGGCACTGGCTATTCAACTAAATCATTTTAATCAGACTCTTCTCGGTGGGACTTCTGGCAGCTCGGGGGTAGGGAATGACGATTGGGCATGGCATCCTCCAATCGTCATGGGGATCCCGGCAGGATCCTTTTGGGCTCGAAGGTATCCTTGTCCTGGGCATTGGGATGAAATCTTTTGGGCTTTAAGATTCCCTAGACTGTGTTCCGAGGTAGTTGGCAGCTGAACGAAGGGAACTGCTGGTTTCTTGGGGTATCGAATGACGACTGATGGGCATCCTTCAATCGTCGTGGGAATTTTGGCGGGATCCTTTTTGGGCTCGAAAGGTATCCTCGTCCTGGGTATGAGGGTAAAATCTTCCGGGATAAAAGATTTCTCCAAGGTTGGTAATAGCTGAGCCAGAGGAGATGCTGGCTGTTGGCAGTTGCTGTAATGACCGCAAAACATCTTGGAACATTCGTCTCGAAGCAGCTAGTTGACGTCCATGGGTGACGAATTCCCGTCGTATCAGAGGCTGATCAGGAATCTCGTGGAATGAATTTCGTGGTCTCCCAACGTCAAACTTCTAGGTGCTATCGACAATTTGTAGCATTCCTACTTATCTCCTCTTCGTTCCTGGGCTACCCAGCTACCATCAAGTCAGTCAAACAGTCCTTGGTTTGTCCATGTTTGGCCATTTGGCTGCATGGCTGCATCCCCCTGGGTGTCTGATTCCTTGATGCGTGTTGTCTGCCGGTGCTCGGTGTGTGTGCATTGTTTTGTGTGGGTTCGTTGAAACATGTGAAAAAGAAAATATTTCCAGTAGATAACTATTCGCAATGGGCTGAGTAGTCCTTGCATAGGCCTATATATGAGGTGTTTCGCACAGTAAGTGAAAATTGTTCTATATAACTCAATAAATGTTCAACATAAGCTGGGATCCGCTGTCTACCTCTTAAACATCATGAATTTCCTTATTCATTCGTTTAAGTATACCATCAATTCCTGATGATTCCAAATTTACAGACTATAGTTCTAGAGTTAATTATTACTTATTAATTATGAATGTTATTGGGAAAAATCATTATACTATTCAATTTCTTAAAATTATTATTATTCCATTCAATTGTAAAAACATATCAACGTGCTTTCTCGAGTTTCTCATGGCATGATTAAAATAAACAATATTATACTAACTAACACAAAGTAACGTGAACGAAGTGTCAAGTTCATGATTATATCATCATCATAATAAAGAGTTTGTTTTCACTAATAAGCAATATTAAAATGTATAAGTATTGCAAAAAAGTTATCATTAATTTTAGGGAAATTTCAACGTCGTCTTCCATTTCGAGAAAAAAATATTGCAAATAGTTTCTTAATTGAAAAAAAAAAAAAATAGTTGATTGAATAAATGACGACACAAGAAAAATTATGAGTTATCTACATATCTACTTAAATATTTATATTTGTGCCAAATTATGAAAAATTTCCCGATTGGTTCCCATTCCATCCAATGAGTCAATGAATTCGGATGCATTTTCTGTAATGAGTAATATATCTCGAGATCGAGATTAAAGTGAATTGATGCCAATATTGCCAATTGAAAATCATTTTCGTAAACAGAAAAATTGAAATTATGGTTAAAAAATAATTAGAGTCATGTGAACAAACCAACGTGCCTTCTCGTTGAAAAATTTCATAAAAAAAATTACCTATTTGATAAATATATTATCGAAAATGTCACCATGTTATTTCATACTTACATATTGATCATTTTTGACATTCCAGGTCCAAACCGTAAGATTTAAAAGGATATTCATCTGACAACTCATTGTTGGCAGCTTGAATAAACTGATGAACCGTCCGAGAATTGGTACTTTCATGTACTTTGAGCAATATTTTGACTCAAGGTACCTTGAGATTATTTTTTGTTTAATATGAAATATTATCAGAACTTTATTCGATTTATCTATTTATCTTTGGTGTAACCGGTTACACAATGAATTGGCGTTTATTCAATTAAAAAAATATATTAATTTCCCTATTCACCATGTTTCGATGAATTCAAGTAGTAAGATAGTTTATTATAAGAAAATTGAAAAATATGTTGTGATATTTCATCACTTATACATTATTGAACTGATTGAAAATACTCCTTTTAAATACCGCATGCTCATTCCTCCAATTTTGTTAGAACTAGACCGTACATTTCTTTGTTCAACAACTCGCAAATATTTTCCATTTTCGGAAAATCATCCCCGGGGGTAAATATCATTATAATCATCTTCATAATTCATAAATATACATAATCATCATATACGAGCTCATTATTCCACATTAAATCATCATTTCATGTCCTATCAATTCGAGGACAAAATATCTTCAGTAAGGTTAATCCTTCATGCCTTAGTGTGGCACATCTTCCAGGATTCCCTCCTATTTACTGTTATAGTGCATAATTCCAACTATAACACTTCGTACTTTTCAGAATATCAACCAAACAGCTACTTCTCTGGATGTGGTTTGGCTAGGACCACGAGATATGCTGAATAGGGTGATGATTATTCTGTACGGAAACGGTTTCCACTTGAAACCAAGAAACAATCTCTTCATTGAGAGTTTACATACACATCATTATTCTTGAGCTCAATGAATTCATTCCATATCATATTTCCATAACATAATAATATCATATTTGCGTATAGTTCATTTCAGGAGGAATGACAAAAAATGGTAAACGATACCAACGTTTGAGAGTATTTTCAATGTTTGAAAGGTCATATATATACTGACTAAGATATTTTGAATCGAAACATTCCCAACTATTACTTGAATTATTAATTATTTGCATTCGCACTTATATTGAGATTTATTATGAATTATATCGAGCACGATGATTTGTTATTGTTTTGATTTCGTATTGTTATAAGACTATAGACACGTTGTGAATGACTTATAATATATATTATATTGACTGGCATTGGCATTGCATTTCTTGAATGATTTTATCAACTATGAATGAAAAAAAATTTGGAATTATCTTGATTTGAGAAAAAAAAAACTGACAAGAATAATATATAGAAAGAATTTCTTCCGAAATTCAGATAGAAAATTTCGAGTAGAGAAAAAAATAACAAAGTTCAGAGATAAGCTCCAAACTTTGTGAGCCTGGTCCGGTGCTTTATATCATGTCTTTGAATAGGAATGAAATGATTGTTGTTCAACTTTTCAAGCTTACTGGTATTTAAAATATTGAAAAAATTTGGATTTCTGACTTAAATGACTTTCTTACTTTGTTATCACCCATAATTCATGCTGCTATACTTAATTACTTTCAAGTAACCCTTTTTACTAGTGCCTTTGTATGAAATATATGAAATTGACTGAAATTAATGATAAAAAATTATTGAAATAATGAGTCCATTATGAGGAATGCGACTCAAGGAAAGAAGCTTAGGCGCCTCCACCATGTCACAATTAAATAGTTGGAGGCTAGAGGTAATGAATTAATATATTTCACTTAGTTTTTGTATGGGTACAGATGGTTTTAGCATGCCTATCTGTGTGCACTACCAGGAACGCCCCATTTGAAGATCAAACCGAGGCAGTCCAGTTTTAGCATGCTGGACCGTTCGCAAATCCTGGCCAGATGCCCCATATAAAAACACATTTTTATATTCAATACTTAAAATAATGAAAACTGTCTCACACTATATAAATAGATGGTTAGTCTATTCTTATCGATTTATAAGGGGTAATGCTTGGCTTAATATTTTGCGAGAGGTAATATTCGAATAGGCACTAATGTTTAGGGGTAACTGAAAGTACGAGACTATATTCAAAGATAACAATATGTATTGAAGCATGAAACATTATGGGTAGCGATAACAATTATGAATGAACAACAATGAATATAAAGACCTAATAACAACTTACATTATAGAGACCATAACGACGAGCTCTTGTCAAGTCAAGAGTAGCCCCAGACCAGACTAACTTCGGAACCCTCATATCCAATATTTATATACATCATTTTATTAGATTTGCACGTTTCTCATGAGAGTTCCTTGGTCAGTTTTCATAGTTCAATGTCAATTGATGATTTGAATAATTTTATGTTTATAAAACCCTCATGGTTACAAATTACTAATATACTGTATGTTCTACTCGTGACAATACGTATATGGGTTTATTCCCAAGAAGTTATAACCTCCAAAAGTTGAAAGAAACCAATACCTACAATCAAATCTTCTGAAAATTGACATGCCACTGTCATTTTAGACACTTCATTTCCTTCTTGCTTCAAAAATGGTGTTATCCCAGTTTTGGGAAAGTTGGAATTAGGTCCAAACTTTTATTGGCCCAAATTTTGTGATTAAAAAGAGAAACTCTGACTTTGGATAGTATGATATTGTGGGCATGAAAAATTCAAGCATTGGATCTCTTGCATTTGTTTTGATACAACTAACAGTTTGCCACAAATTCGTAATCAACGACAGGAGAATCACGACATCGTCTTCGAACGCAATGGGTTGAACGTTTACATACGGAGGTGATCGTATGTCGACACGCATTTCTGCTATTGGAATACAATCATGCACTTGCCACTCGATCCGTTATCATGATTACAATTCCAGATGATTCTTTTTTTCAAAAAGTCTTATTCAGATCTCAGCAAAACGTTTTTCAAATTCTTACATCGAATTTTAAATCACCCTGTATAGTACCTCGACGAGCGTTACTGGAGGGTTTATCAAATAGTGAAAATGTTTTCTATATTTCTTCAAGAGCTATAACTTCATTTTTTGAAAAAATCTGATAACCCCGACTAATACTGAAATGCTTATCATTTAACTATTGCATTGAGACCAAGTGATCTTCTTCAAATCTTTTCATCATCGTATAATATGAAATCATTTCTTGAATAAAGGAAATAGAAAATGAATTCAATGGTACTTGATGCAAGACTGAATTTTTTTCCACCTCAAAATTGGAATATACCTAGATGAAGAAATTTTGAATGATTTATTTTGAATCGAGATTACAAAGAGATATCTAGCTCTCAATAACTAAAAGATTCAAGAATAAGTGGAGTCGCCCATTTATCAGCAAGATCGAAACCACCCTGTTTCTGCCGACCAGGTCCCATCAGTCGCTCTCGGTCTACTAACTAGTGGCACAACACAGACGTCTTTCTCACTGCATACCCAATATTTCACAACTAGGCATTCATTTTGAATGGAATTATTTTCTTCTAGTGAGCATGTTCGCATCCATGTACCCTACCAGGTACACACCGTGCATCACCACCACGTGGAGAAGGTTCACGTTCCCGTACCAATCATCAAGAAGGTCTACATCCACGAGCCAGTTTATCATGAACCAATCCACCATCATGCACCAATCATCGAACATGGAGGTTGGTGGTAGGCCAAACAAGAAGTCTTCGTAATATCATCGTACCTGTATATAGTCGATAAGACACCGGTGAGTTGAGCACAAGATAATAGAATAATTCATTATACTCATAGTCCATGAGCCGACTGCAAATTTCGACAGTCATCAGGGTGATATTCCCTAATAGCACACAACGTCCTAGAGACGTCCCTATTTGGTACAATTTACGTTCGAATGTCCCGAACCAAAAATAAGTGTCCTTGGGACGTCCCATCCGGTACATCTCATGCAATGTCCGAGCAAGGACGTCCACGGAATGTCCCAGCTGGTACATCATTTCAAATGTCCTAGAAATAGCATCCCTTAGACGTCCCACGTGGTACATATTGTAGAATGTCCATGCATGGACGTCCTTGGCATGTTACTGATGGCATATGATTTTAAACGTTCCTTTAGGGACATCCATCGGATGTCCCGAGTAGTACATATTCTGGCATGACTTCAGATCTTATATAATGTCCGTTCTAGGCAACCATGAAATGTCCCTGATGGTACATTCCTTCAAATATCTCTGCACAGAAACCCTCATTATTTGTTGGATCGTATAACAACCGAAATGTCCCTTAGGGACATCCTTCGAATGTCCCTAAGGGATATCCGTCGGATGTCCCAATTGGTACATGAACTGTACTCTTCCACTGTCCTAGAAATAACGTCCTATGGACGTCCCAGTCGGAACTTTCGATATGTTGTCCCTGCGAGGACGTTAACTCACACCTCGCCGACAAATGATTGCTCGTAGGCTATAAGTACTCCTCGTCAATGTCCTTCACGTAAGTCCATTGGACATCCTTGGGAAACTTTTTGGGGACCTTCTACGGACCATCAACTCAACTGGATGTCCTAATCAGTTATGCAAGATCTGGTCCTAGAGGGACCCAGAGAAATTCAAATTCAAGTATAATTCGTACGTCCCTGGGACATCCTATGAACATCCAATTGATATCCCCAGTGTTGCTGATAGGTTGTCCTATGGATGTCCTAAGGATGCCCTCTGTAGTGCTTCATGAGGAATACTGCAGGATTTAGGTAAACGATAGTCGTCCCAGGGACATCCTTCAAGGACGTGCCTAGTTGGTCCGCAAGTGGGACATTTGTGCGTTCCACAGACGTCCAATGGATGTCCATGGTACCAAATTGGAACGTCCTATGGACGTCTTGTATGTCCCGACAGGACGTCCTAAGGATATCCATGGGACATAAGTGTGTTATTAGGGTTGGGACATAATCTAAGGGCGGATTCTTGGAGCAAAATATGGCGATTGGAGCAAATATGCCCCAATAAAATACTGCTTTGGAAAAATATAGAGGCCGTTTCGATCAAAAAAGTATTGACTATGAACTTGCACCAAAATTCATGTACTGACAAGAAATGTCATTCACCAGCAACAATTATCTGACAGTCCAAAGCACACTCTTCATGAATGAAATAATATTTGGATTCTCCTTCCAAGACTTTGAGCTGTTCAATTGCATTTTTTTTTTTTCGAAAACGGATGAAAATATCGTTTCTGAACAGGGGTACCAATATTAAGTAGAAATGATCATATCTTCTAATCGAAATCACTAAATAGTTTCTTCAAAAAAAGTTATCAATCGATTTCGTCAGGAATCATTCACGTTGAGCCGTTAACACCGGTGGTAACGGTTGAGCCCCCTTTGACAAACTGCAGAATAATAATTAGAATAATATTCCCTGTAAAAGTATGCCTCTGTGCCGATTTCAATAACAAATGATAAATACAGGGTGTTCCTTGAAGACATGCATTTTTTCAAGGGGGTGATTCTTCAACTCATTTCAAGAAAAAAACTTTCCACTAACGTATGTTCTGAAAGTCTCAACGTTTGAGATACAGGGTGATGAAGTTTTTAAAAAAGGATCAGTTCCTTTTTGACATCTGTAACCTGAGCTTAGGTATTATTATCAAGTTGCCATTGCCAGTGGAATAAGGGTGTAAATCGGATTGAACCGTATCATTGTTTTACATTGAAATACCGTAAGACAAATGACTATAGAATAACTCATAGTAACAAAATCTGGGAACATCTGAACTGACAATATTCCTCAAACGTCAGATCAAAAAGGTGATACTAGATAGTTTTTTCACTAGTGATTCGATATGAGGAGTCCAGTTGAGCCTATCGTCTAGTTGCACGCCAAGTAATTCCACACTTTATACCCGATAGGATGCTCCGTTTTCAAGGAAAGACGAGAAAACGAAGATCAAACTTCAATTTTTTATGTAAATGCTAAGCTTGAGTACTCCATTCAGGATATCCATTACTGGACAACCACAGAATGTAACATTTTGAAAGTTTCGCACCATTTCAGTCACAAAGCAGAATACATCTTGCAATCAAAAGCTATACAGGGTGGACAAAAAAATAATCTATGTATATATGTTCAACTTTGATACCCTGTATCTCAAAAGTCAGGACTTTCATGACATACGTTCATATAAAGTTCAATTCTTGAAATGAGTCCAAGAATCGCCCCCTTGAATATTAGCATGTCATTAAGGAACGAACACCCTGTGTACAGTGAGAATATTAGCGAAAAACGAAAGAAAAAATATTCAACTTCATCGCCCTGTATATTTTTCCTCAACAATATGTTGATTAGGCATATTCGATCCTATCGCCATATTTTGGTTCAAACAGTCCATCTTTAGCCTATGTAAACACACTGTATTTTATTGAACGGCAACTCTGCCAATAACTATCCTGAACAAAATGATTGAAAAATGGCACTTTTGCGGTAATATTGCACTGAATTTAGCGATTTGATAACAAGATAAGAATTATGCCATTCGATACCAACTCAATGGTAGATCTCAAAACCCTACCTACCCCTTAATCCAATCAGTGATTCCGAACATACTCCCGTCATGTGATAACGAGTTGAAACAAAAAGCAAGAAGAAGGAGATAATAACCTCTTTGCGAATATCCAAACGTGCCGCGATTCAAACTGAAAAATTTTGCCCCTCACGAAAGACAATGTCCGGTGGACCAGTTCAAAACTCAACATGTGGATTTGAATACTTGTAGTGCGAGTTTTATACTGGTCCATCGGATATTATCTTTCGACATGAGCGAGATATCATCGGAAATATTTACGTTCTGCTACAAAGGAGACATTATTTCCTTTCATTTGCTTTTTTTTCAATTCGTTATCAGATGACGAGAGTTTGTCTGGAATAATGGCAGCAAATAAATCGCTGTGCTGTGGATTTGACTCAGATTAAGGGTTCGCACAGGTAGGTTTTTGAGATCTACCACCAGGATTCATTTGATGGAGTATAATGAGCAATAAATTTTGACAGCTAGAAATATCATATCATATTCGAATGAAAAATTCATCGAAAACAAAAAATTTGTCCAAAGATACAAGAGAAAAATGGGGAATGTCCAAATAAATTGTCAAGAAAGAGGATTGTTTACTCGCAAATATCTATACTCTGGTACATATCTTCATTCTTGCCTGACCACCTAATAAGCTAGCATCCCCATAATTTGATCATTTGCTTTAAATTCCACGCGATATGAGTAGGAATCATCATGTAGCAATCTAATTTTTTTATTCCCATCGCTCAAACATACTCGACAAGCCCAGTCAGCACATCCTTTCGTCGTCAACCTCGAAATATGTCAAACAACTCTTTAACAAAACTCATTTATACATAGAACGGCAAAGCTTTGGAATTCTTGTCCAAACAGAGTATTCCCAAGAACTTATACTCTCCAAAAGTTGAAAATATTCCCAATACCTATCCTCCCTAGGGGCACACGATGTTTTCCGAACATTATAGGGATTCCCTTTCGAACGCTCCAAGAGATAAAAAAGGTGACCCGTATCTCATTTTTTTCCTCATCTTTCGTTTGCCGGAGAGTTCACTTTGACCTTTTGGCAGTGTGGAAACAACCGCTTTCAGGCAGATCGCTTCACGTGGTGGTGGCGTTCCACAAGGATCAATTTTGGCACCAACATTATTTCTTCTTCATATCTATGATCAGTTGGGAGTAACAACTTGTCCCATCCACAGCTTTGCAGATGATAGTACCCTCCATACTGTGTTCTCTTCCAGAATTCCCATTTCTTCCCAGGAAACTAAGAACTCACGGCGCAGGCAGGTCAATGGTGTCAATGAAGACCTTGCTGATATCACAGCCTGGGGAACCAACAACTTAATTGAATTCAACGTCACCAAAACTCAAGACTGTATTTTCTCTAGAAAGGCGAAACTCAGTATGCCCGATAATGTAATGTCTGGCACCACCATCCCCATTAAGTCCACCATATCTATGCTCTGTATTTCCATCAGCAACACTCTTTCATGAGATAATCATGTCAGATCTATCGCAAAAGCTGCTTCACAAACACTCGGATTCTTGTTCCGTGCGAAAAGCCACTTCACACCTCAACAGCTCCTCATGATCTACAAAGCGCAGATACGGCCTGTTCTAGAATACTGTTCCCACATATGGGGTTCAGCACCAAAACATACGCTGATGCTCTTAGATTCCATCCAGAGAAGAGCCATCCGCCTGGTGGGTGACGCCACACTCACTCACTCTTTGACATCATTGGAACACCGTAGAAAGGTCGGCGATCTTTCACTTTTCTATCGATACTTCTATGGGAAATGTTCTTCGGAAATCTCTGCTATCATCCCTTCACTAGCAATACCAGTCAGACGAACTAGACAAGCTCAGTCAGCACATCTTTTCGTTGTCAACCTCGAAAGATGTCGAACAGCACTTTATCAAAACTCCTTCATCCATGGAACGGCTAGGCTCTGGAATTCATTGCTTGAGGAAGTATTCCCAACAACATATAATCTCTCAATACCTACCTCCTGTCCCTATCCTCCCTAGGAACGCACGATGTTCTTCGAACATCATAGGGATTTCCTTTCGTGCGCTCCGAGCGATAAAAAAAATGAATAAAAAAGCAAGCACTAGGCTTGGTCGTTTCCCTTTCTTCACATTTTTGAATTGGACATTCCGCATTTTTTTTTTTTCATGTGAACGTATTTTCGAACTAGCATATCAACTGACTATGCTGCGTTATTGCTATGGACTTCTGTTTATACTTAAATATTGACGGTGTCAAGTCAATCTCCACTATATTGTGTGGTTTTCAAATTTCAGCCATCTAGCACCCAAACTGAGCAACTTCGTGATGTAAGTCTGCTTACCTATATCGAATTGTTTTGGTCTGAGAAATGTGTAATAATTAAAAGGCCTTTCAGAGACACCCTACATAACATGGCTTCATCACTACTTTTGGAATTAATACCTAATATAAATAGGTATATTATGTAAAATATTGTAAAAGGCCGTAATCGTTACAGCAAAGTTACAGCATGTTATGATGACACTTTCACCTTCAAAACAACTTGTTACCCAAAACGGTCAACCTGTTTTGCCATATCGTATAGCAAAACAGATCCTGAACTGCATTTGAGAATGATTTAATGTACAAAGGAACTAAAGCATTTTTCGGAAAGTGAAAGTCGATTTCGATCCACCACATGGCGTCCCATTAGGATTTGATTGCATTCAGGATACATAACCGGAATGTTATAGGTACGAATGCTTTCCATTCGGCCATAGGATATTTTCTGTTACGTAAAGTAGGTGTGGGAATGGTTGTCTTCGATCTATAATCTAGAATGATTCCAAATATAAAAAACAAAAACGACGCTTTCACCTCTGGCCTGAAAATTCTATACCGGGAAGACTCAAATTTATAAGCTAAGTATATGAAACTCTTGGTATAATCTTATCTAATACTTCGAATTCTCTAACTGCACCACTTTGTTCATGGATAGAAATAAACCACCTCAGTACCCTAACAACACAGGGATGCCACGGGTACGTCCCTTTTTTGTCCCGCGGTACAAGGACATCATTGGGGCATCCAGGGAATGTCCCGCAGTGGTTGTCCAGTGGACATCCCGCCCGGTACATTCCTAGGATATCCTATTCGTGTCCCTGGAATATCATCCATTCACATCAGAATCATTGAATTTCATCAAACTAGTGAGATGAATTTATTTGAAAATGTTTGTTTTCCTTCCGGAAAATAATTGTAATGAAAATGAAGAATAAAGTCTCAGAACTACTAAAAAAATGACCATTTTTTGCAAACAGAAATCGTACAGGCATATTGCCCCTCATTTTTAAACACCCAAGAATGATAATAATTATATCCGAATCCTAACAAAGTTTTATTTATTCAGGTTTCTATAGTTAAGTTCTGTTTATAAATCTGTTCAGTACATAAATCTTCAGGAGGCATAATAGCCAATGGAGTAAGGTGCGAGCCTGATAATCTAAAGGTCCCGGGTTCAATCCCTACTCGACCTGCTTTTTTGTCGAAGGGATGTCCCTGAGATGTCCTTGGTCCTTTCTTCGTACTTGGTACATCCCAGGGACGTATCAGAAGGACATCCCTCGGATGCCTCTTTTGGTGGCCAGCGGATGTCCCTGGGACATTCCTAGTATGTATGTTGTCCCGGCAAAGGACATCCCTGGGATGTGCTGGTAAAAAATCAGGGACGTCCCTGGGAAGTCCCTAGGATGTACTGGTGTTGTTAGGGTATGCTGGTAGATATTTTTTTGAAATTTGTTCATGCAATGTTCTTAATTTCAATATGTCAGTGTTAGCAGTTTCGAAAATATTGAGGAGTATTTCCCTCATATATCGCTAATTAGCCTGCAGAGCTGCACTTCGAAGATATCCCGTCGCCATAACAACACATTCAAAACCATGTCACTAGACACCAGTAAACAATACAAATAAATGTCAGATGGACTTCAGAAAGTGACAAAAATTTCACGTTTCGATGAGTGCTTGATACAATCTATCCAGGAAAGTATTAATGAAAATGAACCAAAAAATACGGAAACCAACAGACAGAATTTCTTTATTCGTAAAATATTCCAAAAAATTATATTCGAATATGAAAATGACCAGATAATTTTCAATCCGAGCGTGTTATCTTATACAAATTGCATTCGATTATTCTCATATTTTGTAAAAGAGACCTCCACCAAAATATGTAAATAACCTCTTACAATTTTCAGATTACACGATTTCTTGCATGATTATCGTTTAGATGAATACATTGACTGCGCTGTTTGTAGGCTGTTTTGTTCGACGAACAAGTCAGTTCGAACAAAAATGACGCAAATCCGAAGTGTATGGCTGTAAAATCTTCGTTTTTGCTGGGCATTTTGCGAAATAGTAAGAAAATAATCACGCCGAATTACATTTGTGGTGGTTATTATTTTCATAAATTATCTAGATTCTGTTTGGAATAACAAAGTTGCTACTACGTTCTGGTGTAAGCGGCAACGCTGCATTGCTGAACGTATTTTAGCTCGATAGACCAAGAGCAACTACTATTGGCATAGGGCTCCAGAAGGATCATATAAAATGTCCCGTTCTCCGTAAACGTCTATAGGGAGTCGTTAATCTATGAACTAAGGTATCATTGACCGTGACTGATCCTGTATACCACTTTACACACCATGAAAACCACCTGAAGGCGACACCTGTTGGATCGTAATGAAAGTTCGAGAAGTCACAGAAGTGACATGGGTACCGTTCTTGGTACTGTCTTCTCAACAGGTACCATCTACTTTCACTTGATTGAACTAGATGGCGATGTTAGCTTCGTGTAGGTACTACGTGTGTACCTACGTGTAGGCACTAAAATAATAGAGAGTTGAAGTAATCACTGTACGTAGACCTCCACGTAGACGTTAACTTACGAAAAATAACGTTTACGTATTGTCGTTAAATTGAGTTGAAGTCGCCACTTTGGTCGTCACTGTCATCATAACGTAATAATACATTTTGTTTTCGGTTTGTATTGGTCATTTTTGGTTGTGTGTTCAGATTCGAACATTTATTCCTGTCAAAATTAGAGGACTCCTTGATGCAGAACTCGTTGGTGATCTCGAATTTGATAATTTTAACTCATCGGCATATTTCGAGTATAGTTTGGTTAACGTACGTTGATATTAGGTATACGTGAAGGAACGTGAGATAACGTACACCCGTAAGCCCACTAACAACGCAAACGTGAAGAATTGGAAAATGCGCATGCGTAGCTGTCAATTTCTACGTTTACGTTAACGTTCATGACAACACTTCAACTCTCTATTAATATGAGTAATTTGGCTTCCTCCTAGTTGACTAAAATATACATTGGGTCCTAAGATGCTGTTGTAACTTTGCAATGTTGAGAAACTATTATAAAAAAATTCATGAATGACATAGGTTTCCCGTTAGCTACAAAATATTCATTGAACACTGTAATTTATGCCTGCTGATTCCTAAGGGGTAGAAGACTGACCTTCATGTCAGCTTTATTCGAAAGTACACGTATCCCGGAAATTACGCAGCACAAAGTATGGAATAAATAAGATATTCCAAAACTACTGGGTGTTGCATCAAAAAAATTGCCCATGACGTCAACACCTCCATATGTATGATCCTATGTCATGGAAGTTGTTGAATAGGTATACCTTGAACATTGAAATTAGGAATCGCGCGATGTTCCAGAAACATTATAGAAATTTCCTTTCGTGCCCTCCAAGAGATGAAAAAAAAATACTTTACGGAAATGCGGACATAGGAAGACATATAGTAGGTACTCATTATTTAGATATAGGTATAAACGGCAATAGCTCTATCGTATCTTGAATGAATGAAATCTCAGTGAAGGCATATTTTTTAATGTTTCATTGTGTGCTCTTCTCACCACTATAGCCTCAGAACCTGAGCACAAAAACCTTGTAAGTTCTATTCTTTATGAAGTATAATATAGGTAGGTACATATAACTCATTTTATTTTGACATGCTCAATGTTCTAAATTAATAGTTTCATTGTTTGATTATAATAGTACCTTTCGGGTCCCATAGTCGTAAATTTTGTATATAAGTTACAACAGTTGTCAAAAAATTAGATATTCGGTTAGATCACAAGTGTGATAGTTTGTTGGAATCGTTTAGTATACAGATTGTCCCATCAAAAATTTTGAATCTGATGTCACGTGGCCGAAAGCTCATTCACCAATTGCTTGAATTCACGTCCCCAAAATAACAGTTTTTTATTAGTCTCGAGTTTTGAGTTATTCCCTGTCCTAATCGTAGTGGGAGACCCTGTATACACTGAACAAAACGAAATATATTTTTCTTCATCTTACACATAAAATTCATTGAACATTGAACATGATGTTGAAATATATGTTTGTGAAATTATTTCAAGGCATATATTCAAAATGCATACTATGATGATTGAGATGAAAATTTGTTGAATGAAATCCAATATCTATGTGTTCAGTCAGCAAATATTACTAGAATAATTAGAACAATCGGAATAAACATAGAAATCATATTATGGAATAAACCTATCTTTTGTTGATTTCGCGAGAACAAAAAAAAACGACTAAAATAATTTCGTATTATTTTCTTCGTTTATTATGAACCTTTCAAGAAAGGAATTGCTGCATTGGAACGTTTCCGTGTCATTTTTATTCAGCTTGTTTCTTCGATATCATACGTTTTTATCAATGAATCGCGCTTTATGGAAATAATCCATCACTTTCTATCACGAGCTTGTCTTGATGATTATCTGATTGTTTATTTTTGTTTCAGATATGAATCTTCGAGTATGCCGGAAAGTGCAAAACATCACCAGCTGCTAGTTTTGTAGTTCCACAGTCATACTTTCTTGTTTCCATTTTCTTTTTTTTTTTTCTTCATCAAGTGAATTCAATTAAGATGTTGAGCTTCCTCTATATTGCATTTAAATAATGTAAACTACAAATTACGCTAGTCAGAAATTGTACCGGAAGCTTAAACTTGTAATTGTACTCACCTGATAAACTTCCTCTATTCCCCTGTATATTTTTTATATAACTACGACTGTAAATAAATATATATAAAACTGAATATTAATAGTTGAAATCCTCATTTCATAATAATCCAATGGGAAATTGTTCATTCAGTTATGTCTTGTGACTTACCTAAGCCACACATTAGAAGTTTAATGGGGATCATTTCCGATCTACCTGAGATATTTCCAATCCTCCATGTACTGGGTGTTTTCGAAAATGGGGCGATCAATGAAATGGCGGATAGGAGACGAAAATACAAAACGAAATAAAAGAATACGTTTTTGTCGATCAATACACGCCTATTTCAAAATCCAATGAGAATTCTTCAATTTCCTGAAACCCACCTATCAAAAGACATTTGTAATGATAAAAAAAACTACTTAGTTTTCCAATAACTGATAAATATGCCTTTGAATCAACACACTCCCATATACTTTGACAACAACTGAATAACACGCAGTTATTTGACATGACAATCACAACTGTTTTTTCCATCATTTATTTTTCTTTCCAAAATTTGATAAGGATTCAGATTGTTTTCCATTAGAAGCTCAGAATTGGCGAAAACTAATGTAAAATGGAAAATGATGTATTAAAAGTGTTATTGGAGTCCTTGTCTCCAGATCCAAAAGTTCCAGCAGTTCTTCTGATAATTGCGACGATGAAATATTGTTTATGTTGGGGAGTAAACGAGATAGGTTGAAGATTCTCAACAACCTATACAAAACATTGCATTCAATTATGATGATATGGATAGAGTCATTAATAAGAATCCTCTGTTGGTAGTGTTGGTACCCAAGTTTCCTGAATGTTCGCACTATAATTTCTTGAAATTCATGATGGGAATGAAAAGTACCTACCACTCGAAATTTCTTCATTTTCTGTTGGTGTCAATAATGCAGCTATTCTTTTATTCCCATATTCTAGGCTGATTTCGATCCATATTTTTCGTTTGGCAAATGGCAAACAGCTTTCAAATCCAATAATTTCTTTAAGTTTTTTGAGGTTATGCTGTCGCTGTCATTCCGAAATCCACCAAAATTCGTCCACAATCTCTGTACATCGTTGGAATAGTTTGCAACTTTGGTTCACAGATGGTTCGAAAACCCTTCTTGGATAAGTATACTACAATCTTTCATGCGGAGATCTTCGCAATTGAACTGTGTGCTAGAAAGTGGACGAATAGACCTCTAGAAAACAAGCAGGATAAATTCCAAGCTTCTATGGAACTGTATTGAATCCCTAGAATGCCTGGGTGTACACAACAGAGTTACTTTGCTCTGGGTGCCTAGACACCAGGGGGTGGAAGTCAACGAGAAAGCCTACATCCTCGCCAAACAGGGAACCGAATATGTGTTCATAGGACCAGAACGATACTTTGGTATCACCGCAAGTGCGGCCAAAACAACTATCTCGGACTGGGCGGAGGGTAAAAAACTCACGTACTGGTCTGAACTACCAGGATTAATCAATTCGAAGGCGTTCCTGCCTAAACCATCGAAAAATATAACCAGGCAGATCATAGAATGGAGCAGGAGTAACCTGTAAATTCTGACAGGACTGCTTACGGGACACTGTCGTCTGAGATACCACCTGGGAAGGATGAGTCTGAACCAAAAAGCAGACTGTCGGTTCTGCTAAGTGGAAGACGAAACGGCTGAACACATAGTATGTTCTTGCTCTTGCTTAGAGATACTATGGTTCGAAATATTCGGCTTTACCAATTCAGGTCCTATCGATTTCAGACAAGTCCCAGCTGATTCAACCATGGACTTTGTAGAAAGATGTGGAGTGTACAGTGACCATGCTCACCCCTAGGGGTGAGCATGGGTACCAGCACATACAGGGTACGAGGGCAATGAAGAGGCAGACTCACTTGCCCAAGCAGGAGCAAACAAAGCTCTGAATGGCCCAGAACTCTTCTGTGGTATTGCGAAAGCTATACAAAAGACTAGTATCAAATCATGGATGCAAACCAAATCTCAAGAATGGTGGAACAACTCGCCAGGTATGAGACAGGCAAAAGAGTTTATTAAAAAACCATCGCCAACATTCACAGGATATTTACTGAGCCAGAAACGAATTTCAACTAGAATACTAGTGGGACTTCTCACAGGGCATTGTAGGCTCAACAAACACATGAGTACGATAGGTCAGACTGAAGAACTGCTGTGCAGGTTCTGTCAGGAAGAGGAGGAAACAGCAGTACACATACTTTGCCACTGTGAGGGCTTGTCAAGACTAAGGTTCCTTACGCTGGGTGAGGAAGAACCAGAAGCCCAAAGATACAAAGGGGATCTGAAAGCTAGCCTATTGAGTCTCATAGAGAAGGCGGGGCTAGCCGAAGAACTCTAATCGATTTTGAGGGCAGACACAATAGATCTGAAAAGGTCGCGGTGTGGAGGCAGATAGCCCGAAGGCCCCATTCTAAATCTAATCTTAGGGGTGAGCCACAATAGACCCATTTAGGGTCACAGTGGAGGGGTGGTATTTGCTCCACTCACATGGAACCTAACCTAACCCTTATCAATACTTTTTTATTGTTTTATTACTGTCTACCTTTTTGAATTCAGAATACTATACGAATGTTTTTTATATTTTTGAGTTCGGCTAACTACAAGAGCGTGTTTTTTAATTTGTTTCTATTTTTGTAACTACCGCTCAGGAGCGAAAGTATAGATAATTTGCTCTCCTGTTGCCTTTCTTGGATGTTGTAACCGTCTATTAGGCTCCCTTCAAGTAAATCTTCATTTCATACGAGTACTTGGTGCAAGACACTGTCTCTAGATGTATAAATCCTGAGAAAGCGGGATAAAACTATAAAATTATGCTTGTCATCGATTATATTAGTGGAAGAAGTTTGAATTCAATTAGATTTTTCTTTAATGTATGATAAATTGATATTCATCATACAGGACGTGGAAAAATTTTTTATCACGAATCTGCGATTGGGGTCTTTACAAATAACAGGTTCTCATCGTTCAAGTTTGAACCCCTTGATTGGGTGAAAGTATTGAAAAGGAATATTCTTAGATATATTTATGAACAAAAAAAAAGGAAATACTTAAATCCAAAGAAATACATTGAGAATTCGCATTCTCCATGTGATGAAAATATCAATTCTTTCTCGGTTTATTCAACAGAAAACAACTACTGTTCTGGCTATATGCAACGCCACGACGAACATTGAATGACATCTATTGAACACACACGATAGGAATCTGGGAACAAAATCTTCTGAGTTGAGAATTTGCATTTTCCCTCATATAAAGATACATAATATCCTTCTGAATATTCAACAGAAAACAACTACTTTCCTGGCTATTTGCCACGTCGAACATTGAATTATATCTGTTGAATATCCAAAAAGGGAGCATGAGAAATCAAAATCCTCTGAAATTGAGAATTGACATTATCTCTCAAATCGAATAAAATAATATGATGTAGTTTTATGATATAAAAATATAACTTACCAATAATTGCAGTACTGCAATGAAAATTGTAATGTATAGGAGAAGTATACTCGTATGAACTCTGATCTTAATGAGCTTGGAACTTCCAAAAAAATCATTCGTATCAGTGATATGGAAATTATATCTCTCACAAACAGGGTATATGACTTCACTCGAGTAAAACTCATTTCGGATATCAGATCCTCATCAGTAACCTGTATACTAGTATACTTGTAGGTGTAGTGTAAGACACTGCCGTGTCTCTGGATATTAAAAGAATTAAAAGTGTTTAAAAGTGTTTTTAACCGCCAGCTTAGTTGCAAAGCAACCCTCGAAAGTCAGAGACTTGTGTGAGTTAAGAAGACGGGGACCTTAGCTTTTTAAGTGTCATCCGAAGCACTACTCGGCTGGTAACCGTGGACAGTCCAAAGGATTGATATCTAGGTACCAAGAATGTTGGGTTGGCCACCTATCTCCTCCCGCCCAACGAAACTACCGAAAATTAATTCAGTGCTCGCGCCGGGGATCGAACCCGGACCGCCTGGGCAACAGCCAGCGACTCTACGCTCACGGCCACCAGCCCAGCTTTTGCAATTGTGAAAAGATATTCGATGGAATAAAAACCAACATTTGAAATTTTGGTGACGGAAACCAAAGTATTGAATTATGCTATTGTCATCGGTCCTTGATAATTCGACGTTTGGAAGTGAAGCGAACCTTTAGGAGAGGAATGCGTTTTCTTTAGAATCTTAAAATGAAAAAATTCATCATTTCAACCAAAGAATTTCTCAGCTACGAAATATTCACAATGTTCGAAGTGGAATGAAATGTAGAATCAATACAAAAAGTTCAAAGTCATTTCCACACAATGTTCATAAAATGAACAACAATGGTAGATTTCGAGTGAAAACCAATCACTCTCCTGGCTAATGCAACGCAGAACATCGAATTACATCCTCCCGCAATCTCTGCATCGACTCGTATAAACGAATACTGATACAAGTGATTCTTTCCTGAATGCCTATTGATTCAGATTTAGCAAGGCCACGCTAGACACCTACAGACCGGTTTCGAGCTCTTTGACTCTCATCAGTGCAGGGCAGTCTCCAGCTAGCAGTCCTAAGACCGCCGACTAAGCGTAGCCTAGCTAAACAAAAATCAGGTCGGCATTATATTCCCTATATTTATATATTGAATAATATATATTATATACATATATTATATTTATCTAATGATTATTTTTTATGAGTGAACGCCTACAAGATTTTCCTATAAGAACGCCAATGGTTGCCCTAACGACGTCCATCCATGTGAATGTATTCAAAATGAAAGATTCTCGAACGTTTAAAGTTACATACTCGTAATTCTGCTTGTAATATTGTAATATTATTGTTTTTTGCCTCCCACAATGCCGATCTTACCTTTCACCTTGCGAGAATCTGATAGGATGGTGTCTGGTCGATCGGAGAAAATCCTCTCACTTGAACGATGAACTTCCAGCCTCAATGATCGACATTGCATCTGGGTCACGATTTGTTCATGTGCCAAACCGTGGGCACGTATAA